ATTCTAGTAAAAGGTACAGTATCATCATCTATATGTTATACTTTTACATAATCCATTCTTAGCCACACTACTCCAAGCAATATAATTTTACAATACTCGTGTTCCACAAACAACTAAAATTCGTAATTTTTAAAACGCCAGTACATTTTAGCAAATTGTAAATTATCTATACTTAATTACTTGGCAACTTACAGTACCTAATAAATTTCTTAATTTATACTCGATTAGATTAGCTGATTACATGGTTATTTTCATTTCCTCACCCTCAGTTCCACTTTTTAATGCTCTTGATACACATCGTTTACAAGTATGAATTTCATTTTCAAATTCAAGAACTTGGGCTGCTATAAATATTGTGGTATTAAAAACATAATCTCGATTGAATGAAAGTGGTTAATAAACATCATTTTTCAGATAGAATTATAAAATCTGTGCAATTACATTCAAAACTCACGTCTATACCTTTTAAAACGTAGAGCAGTGTTAAAATTAAATAAATGAATGTATCCATCAGCCTTTTTTCTTTGATTGTGACAAAAATTTTATTTCAATTCATTTTAAATTTTGTTGAGGTTGACATCAAAAAATAACAGAGATTTCGATGAAAGTAAAAATCACAAAATTTCGCGACCATTAGGAGAATGGTTTAATTCGTCATTAAATTAAATTAAAATTACATTGTCATTACAAAAATTAAAATGCTTCCTTTTATCAGCATTGCATAAAGATAAGACGCCATAAACAAATAAGAATGGGCGAAGATTCGAAGTAGGACCACCAATCGATGGCCCAATTGTTGATGTACTAAGCCTACTAGAATGTGTTGAAACAAAATCAATGCGTACAATTTTGTGTAAAGTTGAAAAAAAATTACAAATTATGTCGAAATCTACGATTTTGATTTTTCGGATCCATTACAGAAAAGGTCTTTATGACTGGCAAGTTAAAAAATTGTACCAGTTGCTCTGGTTGGTGATTATACTTGAGTAATATTTATTTTTCTGCAAAAATTAGAAGATTCTGATTTGATCAAATATGAAAATCCTACTTGTCCATGTTTTAAAGCAGAGCGCGTATTCACGAATGCCCAAAATAGCTGATAATGCTCACTCGCTCTCATACGGTGTTAAAGTTAAAGAGATTTTAAGAAAATATGTAGGTACCAATATATACGTAATCATAGGGAGTAAGAGCTTTGCTTGCTTTGCTTACTTTGCTGACGAGGGGGTTAAAATTCCTAAATTTTGCTCATGGGCAAAATTTTGTCCATATGATGCAAGATTTGTAAATTACAACAGAATACAGTAGGGCCTCCATAACCCGAACTCCCGCTTATCCGAATGCTTTTATAATCTGAACGACCTATCCTCTCTGCCCATATCAGCGAAGAAAAGGCGTCCCTTCGTCAGGTGATATAGTAATAGAAAAAGCCAAAATTTTCAATGAAAGATTTGGAAAAGGAGAGCTTATTGCTAGTAAAGGATGGTTAGACAAGTTCAAGAAAAGGCATGGTATATTTAGTGGTGAGGAATTGTCGAATATCGAAGAAGCTGTGAACCCATCTCAGCAGAAATTCATGGACATAAATAGGGAGAAAGTCTTGATTGCAGACCAAATTTATAACGCGATTTATAGGCTTTTATTGGATAGTAATACCGGATAAGACATTGGTTTCTGGGAGAGAAAATAGTGCACTAGGTCCAAATGTATCGACAGGGAGGATCATTTTTACGCCATCTTCGAATGCAAGCAGAACAGACAAATTGCCTCTGCTGGTTGTAGGTGAAGCACAAAGGAAACGTACATTATACAAGTCGAGAAAGTGCTTGGTTTACAAAAGCAATATTTTAGAGGCTGAAGGGGCATTTTATTCCCGAAGTCAAGATATATTTATCAGAAAAGAACCTAGCAATTTTAATTGTCGACTAACGCATCTTCTGTAATCAAAACGCTCCACAGATCCGAATAGGGTATAAATTTTGAGTCTTCGGATTATCGAGGTCCTACTATAATTATAATTTTAATTCAAAATGTAGTAGGAATAAACGTAAAATTAAGCATAGATAGATGCTTTTCACAGATTTTTAACAACACAAAAATCTTGGAATTTTTACGAACCAAGACGTACGTGGTAAAAATTATTAAAAATTGGTACAAATACCATTAAATTGGGACATGTAACATTATTGCGAGGCGGATCTGATTCTATCTAATACCGAAAAAAAACTTTTGCCACCCCTACATTTACGCCGTCTAAGGCCCATGGCCCTCGGTCTGGTCTAGTCCTTTCTGTTAACTTTCCCAATGCATTTGAATAAGAAAATCACAGCAGTAATTTTTTTTGTGCGGTTTAGATACCAATAACGTCCTGAGAGTCTGATCGTCTTAAAGTTAATATTTTAGAAAAAACTTTACCTTCATTTTCTATTTTTTCTTCTTTTGACCAGAAGAAGCATTTTATCAAGTTTATAAATTTTACAAATTGTACAAATGTTGTTCTTATTAATTTTTGCTTACAAAAGCCTAATGTGATAATAATTTAAAATGAATAACTAAATTTTAGTTAGGAGGATGTAATTTTTTTCAGTTTTTTGGCTCAATATGCTGATCGTATACATAACTTGTTTGTTGAGATGTAAACTTAATTGACCGATAAAGTGATATAACGCTTTTGTGGTTCAGTAGATAACTTATAAAAAGTCAAAATAACATAATTTAATCGTAAGTTAGACGCTTGTCTGCAGGCAATTGTAAATCCAGAGAACAGGAAAAGCGTAGATTACATCATTGTGTTCTTTACTTTATAGATTTCAAAACGGAATTATCTGAATAAGTAGGAAATTTAATTTACAATGTTCTGAATGTATATTTACATATTAACAAATGCATTGGTGCCTATAAATAATAAAAACTAAAACATGAGGTAAATTAACTTTCGAATAAAAAATATTGTTTTTAGCAGATGTAAAATCATTAAATAGACCGTACTATTCGATATCTCGTCAAAAGTTGCGTTAAAACATGAGTAACTTAAATTGAATAAAACGGTTATAAAAATCGAACTTTGGTATTTTAAAAATAAACGTTCGATAAGAACTTGTCTGAAATTTGAAAACTATAGTAGAGATTCTGTGCCACTAATAAACAATAAATACATTAATATTCTTGTCCGTATGCAAGACAATTACTGTAGTTTCATAGACCACAGAAAAAAAACCCGGAAGACAACATCAAATCGATGAAGACAATTAATTTGCTTCACCTGAAAAATGCTTTTTGATATAAACAAAAACATGCACCGTAGATCTATAATTTTTTATTAAAATTCTCCATAAAATAAAATAATATTGATAGAATGCAGGAAAGTAAAGGCAAAAGATCTAGAATTCCGTCAGAAGTACTTCTTTTGCAACATGTGTGTGGTAATTTTAGAGTTATGATATACTTATTAAATCCGTGAGAATGCCGAAGACTTAAAATTCCATTTTTCCCTCTCTAGGTATTAGGAAAGAAAAACCACCAAATAGCATCAGTGTTTCACTTTTAGTGCAAGGTAAATTGGTTGGAATTAAAATTTCCAATACATCTTGAGGATGTTCTACACTAAGGGCGAAACGTAGATGTTATTTGCAACAATAAAATACTTATTGTTAGTGTACCTAATTGGTTTTAATTAATAAAATTATTTTTCGAAGCTAGGGAGGGGACTGGAATTAAATACAGATGAGACAAAAATTTTAAGGGGAAAAATCAGGAAAAACAAAGAAGAAATTAGAATTCTAGTGGAAAGGAAAACTTATCGAAGAAGTTACAGTATTCTACGATTCGTATTTCAAAAAAAAAATAATGGAGTAGATAAGCAAATAAAAAGCTTAGGAAGAAAGCGATACGGGTAATGGGAAAGGTATAGGGAATAGGAGAAAGAAATCATAAACAGAGTTGAATGTTCTTATTCTAGATTTTGGTAGAGAAAGTGAATTTATTGAAGTTGTTTAATTACTATAAATTTATATTTCGAAATGTGGTGTTACACGCGAATGATGAGGATATCGTGGATAGAGAAGGTTAAAAATGAAGAGGTATTAGAAAGAATAGGAGAACAGAGGACTCTATGAAAGTCAATAACAAATAGGCGAGATGGGTTAGTAGAACACCTTCTCAGGCATAAAGGTCTAATCAGAGACATATTAGAGGACGAAGCGGAACTTAGGAGGGGAAGAGGTAGACTTAGATTAGATTACTGTTCGCACATAGTTAAAGATGTGGGTTGTTCTAGTTTTAGGGAAATGCGAAGATTAGCTCAAGATAGGAAAGAGTGGAGGTGCATGTCCAACCAGTTTCAAGACTGACGACCTTATGATGATGAAATTTATATTGTTGGGGACCATAGGCAAGTGTCTACCTAGCATACTGCAGTACAATTTCAACAACAAATTACATATTTTGATCTTTCCAAAATTAAATAAGTTCTTCACAAAGTCAAAGATATTCTTAGGTTTCTGATACTATATTAACTTCATGCATGCGAATAAGCAATTCACCAACATGGCTGATATTCAGTAAATATATTTAGGTACGGCTAATGTAATACGTTTTCTACGTTTTAACAAATTTTCGCCTTTCATATCCTTGAAAAAGAACAGAATGTTTTTCATAGTCATACATCAATTAATTATTTCATCTACATAATGTACGTACATATATGATTGTACGGACTTATATTGCTAATGAACTTTGATTGCAATGCATATACTTTAATTTGCACCACTCAATACAATCATCATATCGTTGTTCGGTGATAATACATATACTAAATTAAATACTGAACATTACACTTTTATTCTTCTTCCATTTCCAATCATTCTACATTTTAAATCTGAATTATTTAAATATTCAGCAATTGTTCTGTAATTTATCATAAGAAAGGGAAAAAAATTAAGTACTCCTGTTACATTAAAAANTTTATTTATTAGGAATAAGTGTTTGAAACACTTGAGGGATTTTCTGGACATTTTATTAAAATTACATTTGAAAATTACAATTACCTGAAAGTAAACAAAATATACAGAAATTGACTGATCTCAAATTTTCACATAAAATTACATGATCAATTCTTATTTATATAATGCAAATGGCAAATAAATAAGCTCCATTATTAAACAAATGTGGCAGTTAAATAAACTAGCCTTTAATTTTTTGCAGTGTATGAAAATTGTGAGTGTTTAAGTACAAGAAAGATAATGAAGTTAATAGTTTTTCCGACTTTGAAACGGTAAATTCAGGTACGTCAGAGTTAATTCTGGCTGTTAGTTATTATAAAAATATTATACTTTGGAAAATACTGCCAAACCCTTAGAAGATCGAATAATTAAATATAACAGATTCTAATAGCACCGGTCACTACATGTAACTATAAGCCTTTCTACATAAGATAATGCTGTTTGAAAATAAAAATGTAAGGCAGAGTGATATACAAAAACAATTTACTACGAAGGAAAAATTTCCTATTAGATAATACCTAAGTGAATAAAATATTTTCCCTTTCTTTTCTATGTTCAGCTAGTGTTTTAAGTTCTAAGGGTGATAGTAATACATATAATTATATAATATAATACATAACTAGCAGAAATAAATAGCAATAATAATCACAATGATAAACGTAATTTTTCTAAATTGGTAAACATTAAGTTGACTTCTAAGCTTTGATGTTACACAGTCGATTTTTGGTTATTTTTTCCGTATCAGTCGAAATAACTTTGTCTTGATCGGCTTTTTTATCGAGACTATTTCCCATTAATCCATTGCAGGGTAATTCTTGGGAACCTAAAGATACGATATAAAGAAATTCTATCAAATAGATGTAAAATATTATTTTTATACTTTTAACTGTGTAGGTACCAATTACAGAACTGGCGAATTTTTTGGATGTTTTCCAATCTTCTCGTAAAGACAAGTTATACATGGAATAGTCGGGGTTTCCCGTAACGTCTTTGACAATATTCAGGAACTTTGGCAATCGCTCCTGCATTATCGCCTCGTCTAAAGCTGTGTATGTTTCCAGAAATATAAGACCTTTACATCTGTAAAAGGATTTAAATAAATGAAAGTGACTTAATTAATAAAGGATTAGGGGCGATAAGAGTATGAAGATCCTATTAATTCATAACATTTAAGATCATTCCAATACTTAAACACAATTATTCGGTAGCATTGTCTATTTTTGACATGTTTGTCCACCTTTTTAATTTTCATAACGAATAAAATGAGCTACCATTTTTTTTTTACTTTACAGATTCTTGTGCAGGTGTCTAATAAAACCATATTTCAGAATCTAACTGATACCTTCACTAACTTAGTAGAAATATAGTGGAAAAAAAATAAGAAAAATGCTAAAAATAGTCTACTAAAACAATTATCTTTAACTTTTGGAGTGATCCTAATGTTAATTATTAGAATAAATATAATTTAAATAGAACCATAAATTGGTTTACCTAGGATGTGTGGGTTCTTGGTATATATCAAGTTGGAAATACTGATTGTTTATCAAAAAGCATCTACGTTTTTTGAAAATTGTAAAATGCGACTTGTCTCTCTGGGCTAACAAGTTGATATAATCACGATGAGTTATTTGCGTCTTAACTTCAATTACTTGGCCATATTTAACGGGACGCCTCACAGTATGGATATAGCTAAAGTAACCTGCAAATATGCTTATTTAATTTAATAAACAATTAAAGAAGTATATATTTTACTTTGGGAGTTTTTAATCTCATTACGTTTAGTAATTTTATTCCCCCTTTGCTAAATCATAAATATAAGCCACATTTTCCTTTTTAGACTTTCGAAATGACGTGTAATAACTAGCGTTGTTATTTGGAATCACATCAAATAAAAGCACATAAAAGGAAAAAATACCATAGAAATTAGCAAATAATCCAATATTGTAAATATGTTTCAGCAATTTCGTAAATAATGTACATCTTATTAATTTAAGGATTGGTCTTAAGTTTTTTTTTATCTCAATAAACACAAAGATAAATCAAAATGATGACAAGAATAAGTGACTTCTCCACATTTGTATTGGTACAAAGTAATAAAAATGAATTGTATGCCCTCAAATTTTTTGGACTAAATGGTTAGTATGCAACAGAAAATTAGTAAAAATAAACCACAAATTATTTTTAGATAAGAATGTATTTAATGGACGGCCACCATATGTATAAATACACTTTTGGCACAACCACGACAACAACTTCATAGAAACAATAAGTAAATGTATAAATATAAAATTTTCAACAATACTTACAATACTGAAATATATATTAAAGTGTAATATAAGGAAATTTACGAATAAAAAAAAATCGAAGTGAAATTAGAATTTATTTCCCCATTAAAAAAGTGGAAACAATGTTAAGAGTACAAGACTGAGACAAATGAATTTATATGAGCAGTGATAAATAAATAGTGCAATAAAAATGAAAAATAGACTGTGTTATTTATAATACCCTTATTTTTTGTTCTTTCTTCTTACCTTTTTGACCCCGCTTTCTTAACCTGACTTGGATGGGAGGCTCAGATATAAGGTAGTTATGTACAACTTCAAAATCTTGGAAGGGTGGAAAAGCAGAATCGGCGGGTAAAGGACCCTTTACCAGGAATTTGAGTTTTCGAGAATTGGTTAGTAATCGATCACCAGTATCGATTCCTATTTTTTGGCAAACCGCTCCAATCATTCTTCGTATTTTGCCTTCAAAATCGGTAGAGTTATCGATAACATCAAAATATGGATGACCAATCCAAGCTGCTGCCGCATTATAATCTAATTCACGAGCCAATTCCACCCCTTCGGAACGACAAATATGATCCTAGAAAAAGGATTTATGTTAAAATATCATATTTTAGAAATTTGTGGATATAAAAATTCATTCATATTAGACGTTTGTAAAAATTTAAGTTCAAGAGAAATATCTTAAACTGCATTATATGTATATATTTTTTAAACAGAAAGCTACATATTAAGAAGTATTTTGCATCATTTCCCATTTCTTATATTATTTATTGATAATAAATAAAATAGAAAATTTTAGTTTTATAAAAATTCCATTTTGTAGTTATTATATGCCATATTATTAATTATAATTTATTTGTGGATATTTTCTTAAAATTTTATCATTAATATGCAACATCAACTTGAAATCACTTTTCGATTTCGAACCACTACAAATTTCCTCAAATTAATGAGGAAAATATATTTGTTGCTGCTGTCACACCCCCCCCCCC